GAGCATCTGCTTTGGACGCAGAAGGCCCCTGGTTCAACCCCTGGCCTCTTCAGTTATGACAATCACATCAGACACGATGTGAAAGACTTCAGCCCCAGACTCAGGAAAGTCACTGCCAGTTGGAGTAGACAATACTGACTACAACCTATCGACTCAGTAGAAGGCAGCTTCACGTGTGTGTTCATATATGGGAAGGAATATGGACTGGGGATTTAGTGCCAGGGAAGACAGCATTAATGTTCCTCCATGCCACTGCCCTGACTGAAAACGGCTCCCTCTGGATTGAATGTAGCATTGGTGAGGTTGGGGGGGAGGGTCCCCCCACCAGTTTTATCGGCTGAGAACTCCCTTGACATATCTAGCCCTTTAAAAGATTTTTCTTTGACGGTGGTAAGGGAACTGGCAAAGGATGATTACGCCACCCCCGCCACCCCCTGCAGCAATCCCTGCCATCTTGTGTAACTCCCCTCCCCTTTAATTCTAGGTTCTACATTTCCCGTCCACGGAACACGTATGCCGAGCTCAATACACAGGATGGAGGACTGTAGAGGCAGAGAATCCTCCTTCCTCTGCGCTGCAGTCAACACACTTCAGGTTCCCCAGAAGCAAGAGCTTCAATTTACATTTCCTTGATTGAGAGCAGAGCCCTTGGGGGCATGAAGGCCACTGAAGTACAGCAGGGCCTGGAGAATTCCTGCAGGGAGGCTGCTGTTTTGGCAACAGTGCCCAAGGCTATGCCGCTGCTCTCAGCGGGTTCCCGGGAGGAAAAACTTTGCAGCTGAGCTGGGCTGCGACGGAAAAAATTGCTCTCCGATGCCAAATGCATCTTACAGTCACTTCAAGCTTGTACACAAACAACAAACAACGAAATGGCCAAGTTGGCACGTTTTAAGCCAAGGGTGGGCAACAAAACGTTACCCGTGGCAGATCTACACAAGCCCACGGACCTTCCAGCTTCTCCAGCAGCAGTACAGCAAGCCCTGCTGAGGCACGAAAAGCACCAATTTGAAGTGGGGGGGGGGGGGCGGACAATCAAATCCACTTGAGTTACCAAACTGTGTAAAAGAATGATCCAATATTTCATATAGGGGCAGGATTGCAACACAACATTCACACGGTACATTTTCCTACTTGTGACTCTGCGCAGATACATGCTCACACCAGTGGTGAAAATAAGCTAGTCTGAGCCAGTATGGAGTACCAAAACAATGTGGCTGATGTGGTACCTCCCATCTTCTGTTCCAAGCCCTGTCCCCCGCAAGATAGCAAATACCAGCCAAAAAATGCAAGTTGCTTTCACTCCTGGCTCACAGACAGAAAATGCCACTGCCAGCTGGCAGCAGTTTCCATGAACATTTGCCGCTTTCAAGCCGTCACAATCACAGAAATTGTCGCCAACTAATAATATCCACCGAATTGCGCATGTGCCAGATCTTCAGCTGGCAACCTGAGGGGTATAAGGCAGGGCTTCAGCCAGTGCACCCTCACTTGATTCTGGCCAAGGAAGGGAACTGCAAGGAAATTACCCACACCAGCACAGGAAGACACCGAGCGGATCAGGTCGTACTCTGAGACCCCCTAGCAAGGCTTCTGGATATGGTCTGCTTGCTGAGATAAGCAACTAGGAGCAGTCCACTCTTATGAACACTGGGTCATTGTAATCTTTGCCTCGCCTAGTCCTGCCCTCAATTTCAAGGAACTTTTAAAGCAGGGGTGCAGTGGTTATAATGTCGGGCTACAATAGAGGAGACCGGAGTTCAAATTTGGGCACACAACAAAAATCCCTAGCCCAAACTACCTCATGAGGTGTTTATAAGCATAAAATGGATAAGGGGAAGATACAGAACCATGAGTTCCTTAGAGAAAAGGCATGGCAAAAAGATACTAAATTAACAAATAATCGAATGGGTTCCCACATTACCTTCATCCATGGATGTGTTCATGGATAGGCAAGGGGAAAAACCACAAACTTGTGACCTAGGCCCCGCCTCCAGTATGATCTTCTGCACTCTCCTCTCAGTATATACTACAACTATTGATAGGGTTCCCAAGTCCATTTTTCTTCGCAGCGGGGGGCTCCCGGACGGCGTCCCGAGCGTGTGCACGTGCGTGCGCCGCATGTACGTCAGCCGCATGTACGTCAGCCGCATGTGACATGATGACGCCGGGCATGCTGGGGGCGGGGCCACAGCAGAGTTCCCCCCTCAGATGGCTGTGGCCCCGCCCCCAGCGTGGCCGGCATCATCACGTCACATCTGGCTGGTTCCCCCCAGGGCCCGATTTTGCGGCGGCGGAAATGGGGCCTCCAAAGCGGGGGATTATCCGCCCCCCAGGGGGACTTGGCAGCCCTAACTATTGACCAGTTGTTTGATTTCACAAAATTGTACCTCCCCAGTGTCATTCTGGAAGATTCTGAGGTAATTCATAAACAGCAATAACCAGTAAGATAATCTTTTTGTCACTGCAAGATGGTCACTGGGAAGCAAGAGGCCTCTGAAGGGTGTGAGTATGGTTGCTAGCCCTCAAGTGAGACCCAGAGATCTCCCAGAATTACAGCTGATCTCCAGACAACAGAAACTTGGCATCATACCCTGATGGGCCCACTCTCCCCAAATTGCTCCCTCCCCAGGCAATTCCCTGAAATCTCTGGAAATTTCCCAACCCAGACCTGGCAACCCCTAGCCATGGGGCTCTCACTGGTGGGCAATACAAGATGGCGGTGGCCTTATTTCCAAAGGAAAGCACCTCACTGTCAGTCAACACTGGGCGTAAGGGGTGAGCAGACTCCAGGCCTGCTTGACAGTCACCATAGCAGTTGTGAAGGAACTGACCCTCTCATCAAATTAGCCAGAGGTTTCGGGATACCTTCTCGGTTTCTCGACATGGCAAATCTTTGCTTCATTGAGCCATCTAGAGTTGCTGCCTCAGCAGGTATCCTTCTGCAGTATACCCAGTATCTGCTGGTAGTCTACTCCGGACTTAACCAAGTTTTATGGGGGTAGAAAGTATGTGGATAGCCCTGCCTTTGGGCAAGGAAATGCGAGCACATAGTTGGACCAATGACTGTCCCCCTGGCCTACTTGAACAGTGCCTTAGAAGTCTACACTGAGGCACAATCACATCACCTGTGGGGGAGGGGGAACACCCACAGAGCAGAACTAACTACTGCTTCCCCAGAACTGGACATATACTGGGCCCTGGGCCAGGGCTGAGGCCTCACATTAAGACCTCAGGTCACTAGAACAAAGATTTGGGCTATAAAACAAATGGCTTATCAGACAATCTCCCCTTGCCTTCTCATTTGGTGGACACACAAAATAAAAATAATTGACACAGCAAGGGTATAAGAGAGCACAGCAGGTTTAAAAGCCTTGGTGGGATCAGAAAAAGTTTGCCCACAAGCCAAGGTTTCATAGGCAATGACCCCAGGATACCGCTTGGGAAGAATCAGTGACAATCTTGGACCTTTTTTTTTTGCCACAGGAGCCTACTACATTACTATAGTAGTGTGACCTACACGGAAACACAGCACTAAGCGGGCCGGTTGTTCCCGCAGGCATGGGGCAGGTGAAAACCATTAACCCCCATAGTAACTCCCAAGTAGCAAGCTGTCGGCTTGATGGATGTGAGAGCCTGAATGACCCAAAATCAGGAACCAAACAACCATTTTGCAGGTATGAAACAGAGGGGCAAGCGGCTGGCTAGGCATAACAACAGCGGGGACTGAACCCCAAGGTTTCATATCCAAAACCTTCAGCTCTTTGACAACCCACGCCCAGCCTTCAAAGGGCTTTGCCCATGACCCAACACTACAAAGACCTCACATTGTACAGAGGATGAACTGCACACATGAAATACATTTCAGGCTGTTCTAAATACATAGAGTCTAGCTGCCAATCTCCTTTCTGCACAACCTAGAGCACTTCCGCACAGGGTGCAATAAAAAAGTGCCAGAGGAGAGTGCCAGGCAAGGTCTCCATTCCAGATGTCCCTCCTGCAAGCAGAGATGTTAGAGTGGCCTGTGAGAGACACACCCTACAAGCCCAGAGCAAGGGGGAAATTTATGACAGGAATACTGTTTTTCAGGATCTTATTGGAGGTTGGCTCTCTCCAAGCGCAGTTGTCCTCGGCCCTCACCTGGCATCAGTTTCAGCACCGCCACACTGTGCCTGAGGTGCTCGGCAACAACACAGCCAACATGACTCTGCAACCGAATGGTCTAGACATGGAGGGGGGGGGAACCATTTCCATTTCTTTTCAATGCTTGCCCAAATTCCACTGTTTACCTTAAAGGCTCAGAGGCAAACATATATATGAAAGAGCTAACAAAATTCGTGAAATGCAACTAAAAATACAACCAGCGGCCAAAACAAACAAACAAACAAATCATTCTGCTTGCCGTCCAAAGAAGATTTCACCCCAGCCATGCAAAACCAGGCAAGGTAAAACCTACACTTGTGTAAGACATGCAAGCTCCCGAGGAGTCCCCAGGGGAAGGGAGTGCCCGGGAAGCAGGGTACCACTAACCTCTCAGGGAGCAAGGGGGTGAAATTCATACTATCCTAAATATCCAGAGACATGGGTTTTTTTGAGGAGCTGTACCAATATCCACAACCCACTTGGAAGGGTGATTCTCACTGTTGGCAACGACCCCCTCCCCCGCGGGGGGGTACCATACACACATCCTCCATGGCAATGACAGGAATGACCAACCTTTGCACCTTCACCAGCCCTAGCTACACAGCATTCAGGCAGAGCCAGCAAGAAACAGAAAGATTCCAAAAGGCTTGCCCGGGAAATCAGGCAGGGGGGATAAAAGGAGAAAGGCAAAAGGGAGATGCTCCAACCGGAATTCTTGCACACAAAAGCACCAGCTCTGGAGGGGGGGGGGGGTTCCCGCAGTTTGCACCTGCCCACATCAGCTGAGACACAGCAGATCTGCCACTGGGGTGTGGGAGGGTGGGAACCCCCAAACAAAAGACAGCCTCGCAGGTACTCACCCCCAGTTTCCTGCTCTTCATTTTCACATATCCCTGTTTGACGATGTCGTTGAAATTTGTAGCCATGGCTCAGCCGCCGCACAGCCAGGGTCTGCTGCCACAGAGCCAAAGGCTCTCTTCTTGCCACCGCCGCCACCGCCTCCTCCTCCTCCTCCGCTGGGCTCTCCTACAGCCGTGATGCTGGCTCCTCTCCCTTCCACGGCTCCTCCGTCATTCACCTGTTTTCAGACTTTTGCCTCCACACCGGTCCTCTCCCCTCCCCGTTCCCTCAGCATTGTTCTAGTTGGGAGATCGCTGGCCGCTTCCTCTTGTTCGGCTGGAAAATAAAAATGACAGATAGATTAGAGACTGTGACATCTTTCTCTGGGTCGGGTTTTTCCCTCCTCTCTCCCTCCCCCCCCCCTTGACTGAACCATTCAGGAGGATCCAAGGAGGCTTGTACAGTAGAAGGGGGGGGGGAATGGAACAGTCCAACTTTTAACCCATTAGAGGCTTTACATTTTAAATGCATGAGGAGATTCTTCCTCCAAGGGGGAGAGTGAGCAAAGAGGATGCCCTTAAACAAAAAAAGAGCTGACCTTAAAAGGTAACCTGCCTAAGGTACTTCAGTTTGCCTATTTCTCATTCCGACAGACTGGCCAATCCTTCTCCGGGCCTTTAAACGTGAAAATGAGACGGTTGGCTTCTAGGGAATGCTACCGCTTTTGAAGCGACTGTTAAAATCCCCACTGATTCTGCTTCATCTGTTAATTCGGCCCCCAAGAATCGGCATCCTTGAAACTGTAGACAGAGAAGCCTACATTTTCCATCCGCCTGCTTAGGTCCACAAGCTTCTCTTTGCAGGATGACAACAGGGTGCAGCTATTGTGTCTTTGGTTGCACTGGGTTCGACCTCCGCTGTTCTCCTTTCACCCCCAGCATGCCTCAGCTCAGAACCAGATTCAGATCCTTATCCAGCCCCTTAGGCAGTGCAGGCAAGCCAGTCCCAGGGCTCACCCCTCCCCTTTCTGCTACATCTCACAGTTCCCCAAGTGGGGAGGAGGCTGAGACTCAGGGGCAGAGCATCTGCTTTGCTTGCAGAGTCCCGGGTACCTCCGGTTAAAGGGGTCAGGTAGGAGGTTTAAAACAAAAGACCTCTGCTTGAGAGTCCACAAAGCTGCTGTCAGTCTGAGTTGGCAATAGTGATTTTGAGAGGCCAAGGGTCTGACTCAGTAGAAGGCTGCTTTGTGCGTTCAGATATTCATCCAATGATGGAAATGGAGAGGGGGGGATGACTGGATGGAATTACGGATCCGGGAAGATAATTCCCAGATGTTTTATTTCAGTATATGTGAAATAACACATGTGTACGTGTCATCACGACAACTCTTAGCAACAGTCTCACAGATGACTTTTCTAACTGTGACCCAGCTGGCCAAACTGTCCCACTTTGGTCACACCACGAAGGCCACCTGACAGGGAGACCACCAAATTTAGTTACTCCTTCATTTATATCCCACCTTTCTCCCCGATGGAGACCCAAAGCAGTTTACATCATTCTCCTTTCTTCCATTGTGTCCTCACAACAAACTTGTGAGGTAGGCTAGGTGCAGAGCGCGGGACTTACCCAAGGTCACCCAGCTTGCTTCCATGGCAGAGCAGGGATTCGAACCTGGAGTATCCCAGATCCTAGTCTGGCTCTCTAACCACTACACCACACTGGCTCTTCCTGCTCAGAGCCCCAAAGCCCACCACTGCCCCAGCCCCCTTACTTTCTTCAACACAAGTGCACACTTGCAGTTCCCTTTCTGGAGAGAAAATCTTTTGTTCAAGGCAGCTTTGCCTAAGGAGAGGCCGAACCTGCCCTCTGTCGTCAAGCAGAGGGCCCTCACTGGGATTGATTTCGGGGGTGGGGGGTTGCAACGTGTGTCTGGAAGCAGAACACAGAGAGACACACTGCTGTGCTCTCTCATCCCCCGCCCCCCAATACTCAAGCTTTTCTATTGCCCGGCCTCGTAACAACCAGCTTTGGGCTAGAAATGCTTTGCTCTGGGAATGGCACAAAACCCACTTCCACCGCATGACTTCCTCCTTTGAAATAAAGACCCACTGAACGCTGCACCCCGCGTCTCAGAGAACCTCTTGGTTTCCACGCTGCCGGAGCGACAGCTGAGTCAGCAGCCGCCCTTCAACCACCCGACAGGATGCACACGACTTGCTGAATCGGCACCCCCGTTTCCCAGACAAGCATGTCCTTTCCGCCGTTAGGATTCCAGTCCGATAAGCAACTGAAATGTGCATTCCTAAATGCAGGGCTTTGGGGTCACATATCTGGCACTCTCCTGAATTACCCAGCTTCACTTAATGTCAGAGCTTTAGTGCTAAACATTACAGTGGACATAGGGTACTCGTTGTTGTTGTTTTTAGAGAATACTGAAGCATGAATGGGTAGACCTGGAGGGATTTATTTTGTCCGCCATTTAGATTTACAACTTGCTCCACTCCCAGGCTGAGAGTGGGGGCAATTTTGCCATTCATCCTCACCACAACTCTGTAAGGGAGTTCAGGGCTATGCCTCCTCCAGAGTCTGTGAACAGAGGCTGAGACAGGGCAACTAGCCCCAAACCACCGAAGGAATCTGCCAAGGAGCTGATGGTCTCACTGGCCTACCCTGCCTTTTGCTGATCAGGAAAGATCTTCGTTCGTTCAACTTGTACTTAGCCATAATGAAGTTGCTCACTATGCTCAGGCAAACCATCTTGCAATGTTGCCTTCCAGGAGAGGAAGAGAATAAAAATGTGGAACGGGGCTTAACCTACAGAAAACAACAGCAGCAGAGGCTTCAGGTCTGGTCCAACTCAATGGAGCAATTGGAGTCAGCTTGGAGTTCAATGACACACAGCTTTAGGACTGGTTCCAGGTCTCCCACGAAGACTGTCAGTCAAACGTGTCCTTGAAGTTTCCCCACCTGGGGTTGACAACCTCCAGGTAGGGCCTGAAGATCACCAAGCATTGCAAATGGTCTCCACACTACAGAGAACGGTTTGCCTGGAGAAAATGGCTGCTTTGGCGGGTGGACTCTATGGAATCACATACCGGCTGAGGTTCCTCCCAAACTCCATATACCTCAGACTCCACCCCCATATATCCAGGAATTTCCCAAGCTGGAGTTGGCAACCCTATTTACCACAGAGAACTTAATTCCCAGGTGTGTGGGGGCCAATTCAGGTGCATGGGGAAATGGTGCTGATGCCTTCCCTGCTCAAGCCGTTTCCCAGCCAGAAATGGCCTTGCAGTGGCGCTGTCTGTAAGTCTGAGAAACGTTTTTGTACACCATTAGTTCATGTGGAGCTCTCATCTGGTCAAACAGCACCACCACAGGGCCATTTCGGGGGGGAAGCGACGGGGGGGGGGCACCGCCACCTTGGTCCAAATCAGGATCTGCACACCTGGGAATTGAGTTTCCAGTGGGGAACTAGCAAGCACCCATGTTTTGCACAGAGCCAAGGGAAAACCTAACATGGTTAGGCCCTCGATCTTCCCACAACCCTTTTAAAGAAGGCTGGAATTAAGCTCACCGACTCTGTATTGGAAAATTCTTGGAGATTTTGAGACGGTCTCTAAGGAGGGCAGGGCTTGTAGAGGGAAGGGTCTTCAGTAGGGTATAATGCCACAGAGTCCTCCCTCTGATGCTGCCATTTACTCCACGGGAACTGATCTCTACAGTCTGGAGACTGGCTGTAATTCCAGGACATCTCCAGGCCCCACCTGAAGGTTGGCAACCTTAGCTGGAGGAGACCGATTGGCCAGGTCCACACTTCCTTATCCTGATTAGGCAAACAGAAATGGAAGAGATGGAGCGGAGCCTGAAATCTCCCTTAGCAACTGCTCACACCTCACACTTACTGACACAAATCTTTAGCAACGCTGCATGCAAACAGAGACCTAAATCGCTCAACATTTAACACTTCCAACAGACACAACAGGATATACCCCAGCTTGAGCAGGGCTACAGAACCTTAGAGCAACACCCACCTTCTGCCTGGAGGACCCTTCCTCCAAGGACAGTAGTCCAGAAATCTCTCTCTGGACCCGTAAAGGTACCAAGTACATCATCTCCAAATTCTGTCGGAGAACTCAGATTCCATGTGCCTGGCAACTTGTGCTGTATATGCAGACATAAAGATTTTGGGGCACTCCAGCTGCTAACAGGGAAGGAAGCCGAAACATGGCACGTTCCAGCCGCAGCTGTTTCCCAAGGTGTAGTTACCGGGGCCATCTGGGGGATCCTGTCATAAGGGCAGAGGCATTGGTTTGCATGCCACCATGCCCCTCTACCCATTTTGACGTCATTCATTACCATCTCGGAGGCTTTGAGTCCCTAACGAGGAACAGATGGGGCAACCCGTTTGGCACAAGCCCTGCAAGAGGAACAAAAGGCCAAGCCTGCCCTGGCAACCAGCTCCTGGCCTGTTCACTTCTCTGCCCAGCGCAGCCAGCCAGGGCCAGCTTGTGACTGGTGTACAGAAGAGGGGATAATCCTTCGGGACCTAGTAAAGGAAAACTACTCTCTATCCATGGCAGCCGAGGATAAAGCCTTGCTGCATGAGAAATCTTGGTTGCACCATTTAAATTGGGGGGGGGGGTTTAAATCACAGGAGGGGGCTCAGATCTTGGCAGGGCATTGGAGTGGAGACAGCTGCAGAAGCCTTGCAAATAAATGTACAGAAATGACTAGCCCAATTTGTCCACAGGGAAAGGAAAATAACCGAGTGACGCACAGCCAGAACTTCCAGTAACAACTAAACGCTGTCACTGGTCACAATTTACTATGGGTGCATGGGATGGCTTGGCCCAAACCCTGCATGAGAAATTAAGGGGGGCGGGGAAGCCAACAAAGACTCCGATCATGTATGACTGTTTTTCTGTCTCTATGCACCAGTAAGCCATTTGCGGGAGGTTAAAAAGAAATTACGTAGAAACTTTCTTTTCCGGCTGTCCGCAAGTAACTCAGCATTCCCCCAGCGAAGCAGATAAATCCTCGCTTTTTATGGAAGCAAAGCCAACAACACACGCTGAAGGGAATCTTAAGGAAAAAGAACATAACACTGCAGGCAGCATGGGGAGCAGAGAGAAAAGGATTACGTTTAGTGTCAGCAGTAACATCACAAGTATTATTGAGCCCACAAGAGCTGCACACATTGGGTGGAGTGGGGGGGTTGTATCTTTGCATTTTTGTGCGTGCGTGTCCAGAAGTCACGGCAACCTCTGGCAACTCCTACTGGGGCACAGAGGACGTTCAGAGAAGTGG